ATTTATTTATTTATTTATTTGTTTATTTGTTTGTTTGTTTGTTTGTTTGTTTATTTATTTATTTATGACACTTAAATCCAATAACCCCTGAAAACAAAATTAAATTCCAAGAAAATGAAATGCCCCCCAAAAAGTAACATTTAATGATTTAGTGGCAACTGACTTTTAAGACGCAAAAAGAAATATAAAAAGGGCATAAAAACAAATGCAGGAACTAAAAATTTCAAGACAAAAAGTCTGAAACTAAATTAAACTGGGAGGAAAATATATATTCATGCACACTGTAAAAAGGCTGCAGCCATCTTCACAGGTTTGGCTTGCTCCAGGGGCCCCACGCCGCCCCTTTTCGTTCTACCGCCCCCCTGAAAAATGAAATCGCCCCCTGGGGGGCATTATCGCCCACATTAAGAACCACTGCACTACACCACACAAGGGCCATAATCACACCATACAGGGAAGTATTTCAATTTGTTATGAATCGGGATCTCATTTTGTAATCTTTTAATTTTTTTTAATGGGCCATCACAAAGCTGACTGACTTTTGCATAGAAAAATATGAAAATCATGCCAATATTAAAGACAATTAGAACAAATGTGTTGTTCACCTTAGATTTCTGTGACATGACTTGGAATGTAATCTGCAAACAGAAAGCACTGGTGGAAATCTGCCCAGAGAGAGGTTATGGATAGTTATGCTGGTCCTTGTTGATCACAATTCTAGTCTGCAGTGATCAGACTTCTCTGGGGAAGATCCTCTCAGTGAAGAGACTGATTTATGAGTTCAGAAGAGTAACTTTTTTTTCCTTTCTGGACTGGAGATACAAAAAGCCACGTCTTACTCAGTTGCCAACATGCATGTGACATTTTTGGACATGATCATGTGGTGATTAGGAGCAAAGCAAAATTTAAAGTTGCAGCATTAAGTAGATCTACAAAGCAGTAAATCTTAATATCTCATTCTATGGAAAGACATTTTTATTTAATTATGCTCATATCCCCATATCTTCCAAAAAGCTCCAAACAGCATTTTTTTATCCTGCCAGCAGCTCTGAAACTTTGCTTGAGCTGAAAGACTGCAAGTAACATAAAGTCACTATTTCCCACAAAGGTCACTCAACAGACCTGAACCTACATCTTTCAGGTCCCAGTATAACGCTCTAAACATCAACGTGGCTCAGGACTACAGTACATTCAAAGTTCTCACACACAGCTATTAGCTGTGAAAAAGACACGACTATGCAGTTTTGAGTCTTCGGCTTGTGAAAGTCAACATTATTGCCAAAAGCACAGCAGTAGCGGTTGCAACAATGAAATAAAAAGTCACATCTTGGGCGACCGCCAATCCTGTACTTCAACAACACAGGCATGGCAGTTTAAAACAGGTTGTGCAGAAGGACCAGAAACATCACAGAGCTTAGAAACTGAGGGTACAGCAGGACAGCTGCAGGGGAACTTTATCAAAGGTAGTAAGGAATAGATAGGCACGGCCCACTGGATCAGCAGTTCGGCATGGTTCATTTACTGGAGGTAGTGCCCTGACTTCCCTGCCCGACCTCCCCCAGGCGCTGCTTCTGACTGGGCACCCGCCGGACAAAGTGGGACACTGAACTGCAGATCAGCTGTGTGGCTGTCAACCAAACCAGTGGCTCATGCCCATCTTTAGACAGGAATCAAGAAAGACAGAGTTTCACCATTCAGCATCCTTAAAAAGCAACAGCCACAAAAAGCGGTATGCAGTCAACATCCCTTCCCTTACACGAATTTCTACAAAGAAAAAAGAAATCCTCTTGATTAAGGTCTTTGTGGTGTCCTGTCCAGACATTGGTGTCTTCGCAACAATGGCAGGCTGGTATTTCCATCATTCAGTACTATCCCCTCTCCAAAAACATACAACGAGGATATAACACTTCTTTTCCCATTTACCACCAATATCCATAAGAACTTGTTGAGATGAAATAAGTCACAGGAAACACAATGTCCTGTTGATGCTGGACAAAAATAAATAAATAAATAAAGCTCAAATCTAACTACTGAAGACATCCAGATTTGAGCCAATCCTTGCCTACTTAAGCTCTCTTAAAATACCCTGAGTATTTTATGTCTGATAAATGTTTGGAAAACTGTGTGATACTGAAACATAAGAAATTCTCCACAGCATCAAACCAAAGGCCCTTTCCACAGGGGCCACTTAAGAGGCCTGTGGGAAACCCCCAATCAAGACATCATGATCACCACCTTAGAACTGCAGAACTGGAAGGGACCCTCTGGATCATCAAGTCCAGCCCCTGTCAAGGAGGCACAGTTGGGGAATCGAACTCCCAGTCTCTTATTCCTCAGCCAGATGCCTTAATCCACTGAGCTATCCAGCAGTTTATGAAGACAACAAAACTGGAGGCAGTCTGTAGTCGTTGGTACAGCCAATGGAAACCATCAGTGAAAGAATAAATGGCAAGATCATGATTTAGCACAAAAGCCCTCTAGAAAAACAGTCCTTTCTAGGTGTGGATGGAGAGATCACTACTGTGGCAACAGTTCCCACCCCTCTCTACATGCCTCACAGGCTACTTGCAAATGGGCCTATGTTGAGCTTTAAAAAGGTTCCTTTTTTGGGGTTTTTTGTGGGGAGGGGACTATGAAACACCCCTACCCACCCAGGTCAGAGGTTCTTGGAGTTGTGGTCGAAAAAGGAACTCATTCAAGCTCCAGGGCTATGCATGTAAGGTACAGACTGCATGGTCTGTAGCACCTTAACAAGTATGGAGATTCCTATGCACACATAATAGTCAAATTCATGGAAACTGTCCTCCCAATAACCGTTGTCCATCCTATACAGAAAATATTTGTGCAGGGCTTAAGTTACTTTAAAATACTGAGAAACAGGCAATGCACAACAATTCAAATACAAACAAACAGACATGAAATTCAAGTCACTTTTTCAGAAAAGTCACCAGAAACAGCAAACAGTCTGGCAGCACTATTAAGTTTTGCCAGGCACAAGCTTTTGCAGACTTCTTCAGAAGGGTCAAATCAGAAGTCACTTTTTCAGAAGGGATCCAAACTTCTCCAAAACTTTATGACAAACAAAACCTTGTTTTTGTTTTCTTTTGTTTGTAAAAGTGCCACAAGGCTCCCTGTCTTGTTTTTGTTGGAACAGATGAGCAGCAGAGCTAACTCTATGAAAAATGTGGTCCGCCATGTTGGTCTATTATCAGGGCATAAACACAAACATTCACTGTCGCTCCTTTGGTCAGGGGTCAGAAAGAACCAAGAAAAAGGTTAAATAAATCACAAAGTAGCAGCAACTGAGCTTTCAAGCTCACCCCAACAACTCTAGCTCAGGTGAGTTGTTGAAGATAGAGAGGACCATATGAGCTGCCAGGTGAGATGCTCAAAAGGTAGGTTCTCTCTTACTGTAGCCTCCACCTTCAACAAAGAGAACCCTATTCCAATCTTCAAAGAGAAGGAGAAAGCACTTGTAACTCATGGGGAAAAGAGGATGGGTGTGTTTATGGGGTGTGTGTGTGTGTGCGTGAACGAGATGAAAGGCACCATGCCCAGCCTTTTCCTGGCCTGGTGCTGTCCCTTCCCCTGCGTGTGCCACCAGGGGGTCCTCCAGGAAAACATGGTCACCATCGCTTAGCAACTGCCGAGGAAGAAAGGATGAGCCCAAGAGGAGCCCTGCTCCGCCTCGCCCGAAGACTCCCACTTCCGCAGGGCCGGAGGAGAAAAGAGAGAAAGACAGGAAAAGAAAGAGAAAACACATTTTCGGAAAAAAAAGTTTAAGGACCGCCAACGCGTCTCTCGAAACGAATGGCTCCGTGGCTTGGACCGCCCTGCCACCATTCAAGCGGTGGGCGACATTTGCGGGGGATGGGGTGGGGTGGGGAGGGGAAAGGTAACATTCGCGAGACCTGGGGTTGCTGGGACGCCCGAGAAGAAGGGCAGCTTCCCCCAAACCCTCATCACCGACGGGGCAGGCGGGAGCCAAGGGTCTCGATTAGAGGCAGGCGCCCCCGCTCGGGAGCCGGCGATGCGGCGGTGGGGACGGAGCAGGCAAGAAAAACAAGGAGGCGGCGGAACGACCGGTCACTGACAGAGAGAGGGAGAGGGAGAGAGAGAGAGAGGAGACCCCACTTACTTGCGCCTACGCCCCGGGGCTGTCGCCACAGCGACCCGGGCGCCCTGGTGGTGCCCGCCGCCAGCCTCGCCCCGTCGGCCACCGCCCTTGCGTTCACGCGAGCCCGGGCTGCCTCGACTTGCTCGCTTTTCCCTTTTCTTTTTCCCGCCAACTTCGCCGCCTTCTCCTCTTTCCCGTTACTTCCCCGGGCGCGGAGAGGAGCCCGAGAGCGTCGGCGACCCTTGCAACCGGCGAAACCCCCCTGACGG